TAAACTGTGCATTATTTCATGTAGTTCAGTTGTCTGTACATTTCAGATTGAAGAGCCAGAAGGCTAAGAAGTAAAAAGTACAAGTGGATACAGTCCAGCAGAGGGAGCAGGAGACTAAAAGCATAATTTTGAAGGTCTCAGATTCAGAGTCTAATGAATAGAAGTTTCTTATTTATACTTTATATGGTAGCTCTAATCCTTTTTCCTTCTGCCTTAATATCATGCTTCTGACCCCCATTATAGCCACATTGTCTAGGAGGTTTATGTTCCTGATTTTGCTTTCATGTAATCAACTGCAAAACAAGCAGCAACTCCACAGCAGAGACGCATATGAAATGTTGTGTTGGTGAAGAAACCGTTTGGGTCTGGCTTCAGAACAACTGTGTATTTTGGCAATGGGAACTAATGCATCTTTCTTGGAAAAACAATATTTCTTAGAGGACACAGCGAAGCACCTTTGGTGCCCTGCAATTCCTAATTCACAGACCAGTCAGCAGGTTCTGTCTTTAACTTTTCCTCCTGCACCTGCCTTTGTTTCTAAAATGAGAATTCCAGTAGTTGCACTTGAATCAGGTTTGGGGACACACACTCAATCTGACTCAAGTAAGGATATCCATTCCTCAACTGGCTGGATCATTGAGCAGTGACAACCATGTCTCATATTGAAGAAGCATCTGTAATAAACATAGTTCTTTACTAGTCACTTCCATCTCCTTTTTTTTCCCTTTAAACTAGCAATAGTTTTGTTTGCTCCTTACAATTTTGTTTGACTTTTGCTAGGCATTTTTATGATTCATTCTAAAGTCAGTTTTGCTCTATATATATCATACTAGTTTAAAAAAAATACTGGCTCAAATGAAATGCCAAAGCAGTTTATCATTAATTTCAATGGGGCAGGATTCCAAGCAGTGTCATTTTGTACCTGGCATCAAGGTAGTCCAAGAGAAGAGCTCCTGGAGCAAAGAACTGCTCCACTTGAGCAAGGATGGCAGAATGTGGTCCTTTGTGTAGCTAGCTGTTCAGGTCCTGTAACAACTGAGTTGCTTTTAACCACTGCTTTTTGCAATTTCTGTCACCTGCTTCTATCCAAAAAATGTGTTTAGATTTGAAGAGCTTTCTTTGTTGGTATTGTTTTTATTTTTGACGTGAATACAATACAATGGACACATTCTGCTATACAAATACACTTACGTGTGGGCTTACTTCAACAAAACACATAACATAATGAGGATTGTAATGGAAACGTACATACAAACATTTTACTTTGATTAGTGGCATCGTACTATTTTCCAGAGAAGACACACATTAATAGAAAGCCATTGAAAAATAAAAACTGAAACACGGTATGTTTGTATTTGTTGTCTATTAACCTCAAGATCTGATCTCATAAGGTTCACATTACAAGCAGTAATTGAGGCAACATGGTTTGGATAAAATTTCTTCCGTATCCTGAAATATAAATTTCTTTGTAGTTTCCAAATTTCACCCCTTAGAAGGAGAAACATTTTATCAATGTAAAAGACTAGTGGAGAGATGAAATTAATTATAGAAAGTTTTGAAATAGTAAACTTCTAAACCAAAATATTTTTCTGGAAAATGCAGAGTGAGGTAGTTAGTGTTATACATAGACACAGACACATTTGCACGCATGCAGACATTCTAATGACATTAGCTGCATAAACAGGTTAGAACATTCCAGTCTGTTTCCAATACCTACTTCTTGCAATACTTTCTCTTATGTGTTGATAAGCAAAATGCTGTCTTTGTACAATCATGAAGTACATAAATACTAGAGGCATCTTTGGAGTTTGCTGAATAAGTTTCTCCCTGCTAGCTGCCACTTTTTTATTACTAGCTTCCCATGTATGTTGCTTTTTGTTAGGTGGCAATCCTATCATAACTAGTTTTTGACTTCAACTGTTGTTAGGAGGAATAAAATTCCAGGTGCCTCCACCAGCATTTTGAAATATAAAGCCCAAAGTTAAGAACTCACGTTCAAAAATGTTGTAGAGACTGTTCAGTTTGTGTGCTGCATATTAAATCAAGTTAGTGTACCACAACAACCAAAACAACTTAATATGTAACAGTATTAACCACAGTACACATGGGTCATTAGGTCCATTTGTATCAAAAAAGAATTTTGACATTCTGTTTCAGAGATGGCAGGTGCTGAAGTCTGAGCACTGCATGTAGAATCCAGTTCATCTACAAATAGGTAATTGTCTTATAAGCAATTTTAATATAAAACAAGTGTTCACAGGATGGATTTCATTACTTCAGATTTGGCTTTCCTAAGTTGCAAAGTGGTAAAAGGTGTCTTCCAGAACCCCTTGTATCCTGTATTGAATACAATGAAATCTACTTCAGAAATAATTTTGATGAAGTCCTCACTTCAGGGTCCAGGACATGCGGAGCAAGTTAAAGTGTGAGCACATGGGTGCTCTGTATTTTCCCCTGTACGGCCACTGAGAGCACAGAGTGAAGTGATGAGAGGGCAAGACAGAGGAGGTCAAAGTATTTGTCTGAAAATATTGTAGAAAGTTATCTCATTTGCTACAGCATTTCAAATTCTTTAGTTAATGTTCAGGCTTTCTGTGTAGTCGTAAAAGCTCTGTCGTTGGCTATAAATACAACAATGCTTAGCATTTATATGATGCTCTTTGTATTCAAAGCACTTTGCACATGAAATCCCTTTGCTGAGTTTGTCCTTCCGAGATGGATGTTTATAACTCCTGTTCTGCTCGGGGAATTGTTTGGCTGCATCTAAGAGCAGAATTTAACTCAGCTAATTCTCATATTACCTTTATAAGGAAAGTACTAGTCCTGTTTTACAGCTAAAAGAAAAGGGCAGCACAGTAGAAAGAGTTGTCCATTGCCACAGAGGAAACTTGAAGGGAATCAGGGACAAAGCACTTGACAAAACATTAATGCTTAGTCTTATGAACAAACTGTAGATCTACTCTCTCTCATGTACTTAAAATAAATAGTTGTCAAAATAAACAGTGTATTTTGTAATACAACTGTCCTGGTCTTAACCTGGCTGCAACTGTGCATCCATTAGTGTTAAAAAATAATAATAAAAAAATAATAAAAAAAAGGAAAGTTAAAAATGTCACTGTTTTAAAGAAAATGAAAGAATAGTGTTGCTAAATTTTATCATTTTTTTAACCCGAGAAGGTAAGAAAGACAGACTGGATCTGCCCTCTGTAGATATTATTGTTGCTGGTAAAATTACTGATTCAATGTTTATTCAATTATTTATTTCACTGAATGCTAACAGTGAAAGTTAGCTACTGGAGAACACTATTGACTTTGAACCAGAAGTAGGGTTTCTGTAATGTGAAAATTTTAATCGCACAGCTTCAGCAGAGCATCAGGAGTTACAGGTTTCTCTGTGGGACAGCGTACTTTACATTCTCTCGGAGGACTTGGTTCAGAATGGTTTTACATTGCTACCTGGTAAACAGAGCACCAGCTTCTGCTTCATCTGCATGTCCAGATCAGGAACAAAACCCACTGCTCAGACTGGGTGAATTCATGGTGCAATACCATCACCCAATCATGGAGACATTGCAGTGCAGTTGAAGGCATTAGGTCCCATTTTTTGTGTAAGAAAAAAATACTTGTAGTTTTCTAGAGACTTGCGGTTTCTCTACTCAACAAACATGTTTTAGTTTTATAAAGCATAGCCCCAAGCCAGAGGATTAGGTGAAGAATGGTGCTCACCCTTGTGACTGGCTACAAACTAGACACACTAACATTTGCTGTGCTGTATACCCAGTGCAGTTGCAGCTCACCTGTCGCCTGTGATTTCATAGACTGCATGCCATCTGTAAAAGGAGCTGCAATTTGCTGTGTATTTGTAAAGCCCCCAGCACAACTGGGCCTAGTTTGGCTATGGTTTTAAGGCTCTAGTGTGTAAATAAGAGTATTGAATCCCTCTGCTCATTGGAAGCTCTTTTTCTTCTCCATGCTGTATTATACAAGATCCAGACAAAGATCTCTCTTCTCAATGCAGCTGAATAATATAAAAGTTGCTTACATATTACAGCTAAAATTAACAAAAGAAAAAGAATTAGGTTACAAATTAAGAAACTATAATGTTTAACAAAAAAGGTGATGACTGTAAGTGGCACCATTAACATTATATCTCATATTATCGCATTACGCAGGCTTAAATACGAGCGTATCAAGTAAAAGATGGATCCCGGGGAATTTGCCCCTCCTCACTTAGCATTTGTGTGTGCGATGGGAAAGAAGGAGAAAATGGTTTGTAGTGCTACAATTGCACACAGTAATGTGATCCAGACAGACAATTTTGGAAGACTGGTAGTAATATATACAGTGGTACATAGATAAAGCAGTAGAGCTGTCTATACAGTAGTTCTTCCTCCTGCCTCCCTCCCCCAGAATCAGGTACTCTTGAGGAATGACTGGGAGACATAAATATTGCAGTAATGCACACAGTAGAGGTTTACTTTAAGCAGAAGAGTTTGATTTTTGTCACACAGCTACGTCTTAACACTACTGCAGGTTGAGTTTCTCTCTTCTATGCTCTTCTATCTATGACAGATACCTTCTCCTCTTGAATGTCTCTGTGATGCTCCTGTGTTACGCTGTGGTCGGTAGTGTTTCATGCATCTGCAGATGCCACTGGAATCTTTCAAAAAATTAATGTTCTAACACCAGCTCAGGAAACAAGCAACTCCATATGAGGCAGGTTGTCTTTTGTGCACCGTACCTTTGTCCGTCCTCCTTAACTCCTGGGCCAACCGGTAGAAGTGTAACCCATATGAAAGCAAAACTGATGTGGTATTTTCAGATGGTCCAGAAACTGGAGTGATAATGCTTATACCAAAAGTAGTACATGGCAAACATCAGTTGGACAGTACAATAGGAAGGAATGATATCCTGTAGCTACCACTTTGTTTCATCTCTGCCAAGAGCTTCCTTCACTGTTGTCCGTTTGGCTTTTGTCCAGTACACCACAGCCTTCTGCTTCAGCTTGCTTTTGGTTTTATCACCCATTCTGCCTGAGGATTTGCACGGTAAACATCTAACATGTATGCATCTGGATCCAAACAATGGTGACCTGAAATGGAAATCGACAGCCCTGAATCACAGGATGTTTTGTTTGAGCACATTAGCAAATGTGACAGAGCTATGTTGAAATTTATCTTGGACTTGCACATAGCAAGCCTAGTTTGGTGTGTCCAGCTGACATCTTGCCTGGATACAAACAGGAGCTTAGGTAAATTGGCCAGTGATTTTAGTCAGTGAGAGTAATGAATTCATGTTCACTTCCAGGCAGGATGCCCTGCATTACGCTGAGTTGTGGACAAGGCATTTAGTCAAATGGTGAACAAATATTACATTTTCTTTAGAAGCATTAACAATACTGTTACTTTAAGTGCCACAGTATGTTTTTTTTCTTTCTTTGGATTTACTGAACTGGAATTACAACTCTGTGACTTACTTTCTACACTGTTTTTAAATGCTGAAACAGTAGCTCTGTAAACCATGTGTTCCCATCCAGCTAGGATCTTGCAAAGAAATATAGGGACTATATCAAGGTTTTTGTCAGTTGCCATTTTGAGCTGGTTAAAAAAAAAAAAAAAAAAGAAAGAGTCCTCTGAAGTATAGCAGTTGTCAGGTTTTTGTTAGGTGGTTACTGGGAATAGGAGTTGGCTGGGGAGTCCCTGCTGCCTTTGCCACAGAAAGAGGGATTTGGTGCTTCTTAATTGAGTAATAAGACAATAAATTCTTGAGTTAGGTTGATTTGTTGGACTATATTGCATTTGCACCAACTGATGAAGCCATTTAACTGGTGAAGTTACACTGCTGTGACACAAAGAATTACGGTAAAATTTTCATACAGTTACTTATAAGGTCACTGAGGTGCTAATGATTTTATTAAAGTGAAAGCAATATAAATGAACTAATGCATAATCAATGTAACGAGGTACCCTGGAAGATCTAGGACTACTAGAATAGTTTTATATGAAGATGAAAATTAAATGTCCAGATTTTTGAAGGAGCATGGTGGGAATACTTGGGATTGTTTCACAAGGCGTCTAGGATCTTCTCCTGATTTAGGATCGGTTGGTCATGCTGTTTAGCCAGAAAAAAACAGATCACTGATCACTGATCAGCTTTTTGTGAGCATATATTCATTAATAAAGACTGCTTTTTGAGTGCTGCTGAAGTCTGTGAGATTTTGTAATAACTTTATAGAAACTGTTTAGAGCTGAATTTAAAAGAATTAAGGACTAATCTAATCAGACTCCAACAGACCATCCAGAATTTTAGTATGACTAGAGAAAGGAGAGAGTCAGGATTGTGCAATATAAAATTAAAATCTGTTTTTTGACCTTTAGGCCAGGAACTTGTGTAGCAAATCACTGTTGTTATTACAAAAATGTCGCTGCATGAAACACGGGATAAGACAAAATCCCTACTATGAGGAATTTACAATCAAAATAAAGCACATAGATTAGTACACCCATACATGCAGGGGCTGAATTCTCAATTCTGTGGTTTTTATTTGGAGGAGGTTAACACTTAAATACAGAGAGGAAGAAATACGTCTCGGGAAAAGCCTTGACAGTGAGGTGGAATGTGCTCATGAGAGGAAGACTAGGGTCTCTTAACCATGGAAAAATGCTCAATTATGAGAGTGAGAGAGGTAAGCAAAAGGTTGGATGAATTTGACAAGACTGTAATGAGTCCTGCTGAGATCCAGCCACAGAGATCAGGTCACTACCTCCGGTGGGGTGCCCTTCCAGTCGTGCTGGAGTCAGACACCTTTCCTGCAGATGGACTGGAAGGTAGGAGAGACCCAGCTGTGTCAAAACAGCACTGCCCTGAGGTGTTATAGGAGGCTAAGGACGTACAGAATTGAATTTTCAAAAATAAGACCTACCTATATTTCCTCCAATTTCATGTAAACTTTGGATCTGGCCTCTCATGTTCTGTGATGAACTGTGGCTAGGATAGAAAAAAACCTTCAGTTTATCTTTCTGTTATAAACACTGCCTTATTGACCACCATCTATATTAAGCTAAAAATTGAAATTTTTACCCCTGTGAACTTACTTGTCAAAAGCAAAGACTTCCCTCAAGTGACACACTGCAGAATACTGAATCTGCTGCAGAGCTAGATTACTGGGTCACAGTTAACTACGCCTTCTATTATTTATTTTTTATTATTAATTTAAAGAACAGAATTATGTGGTAATATTACAAGACTGGATTTTCAGATACAATTTCCCATTTCCCATAACTTAATAATTATTACTTTACATAAATAAAACCATGAATGTTTTATGGACAGATGTTAGAAAAATCCCTCTGGGTTCTCTATGCAGCAAGCCTATAAAACATATGTTTTTAGTAGTGGTATAATGGTGGGCAGATTGATTTTGTATAGGAGCCAATTATTAAGTAAGATATAAAGAATAGAATCAGTGGTTAAAATTTCTTTGATCAACGTAACCATAAATTATCAATTTTAGATTAGAAAAAGAATTCTTGTAACACAATAAGTCTTTGAAAAGGGGACAATTTATTCTTTAATGGTTCTGACATTATTGTTCAGGAAAAAAAAAATGTTCTGATTTACCCACCTGTTTTCACAGTGGAATCGAGCCAGGATGTCCTTGGCTTTTGTTTGGCTGTTGAGTTGAATTGCCATAGAGACTTTTGAATGCAGTGGAGCATAAACTCTTATCACTCCCTCGGGTATGTCAGACTGCAGGTATGGGGGGAAAGTGACAGCTCCCTAAAATCAATATTCAGTAGAGTAAGTCTAAGGCAAATGTTGCTGTAGCTCCATTCAGAAGCATTTCTACAACTCTTTTGAAGTTGCTTGCAAAAATCACTGTCCTGGATTCACTTAATTACATATATAACATATTTACAGTCATGCAAATGCAAATTTATAATAAATTTGTTTTATACAGTATAATAAGATATGACACAAAGACACAAACTCCTTGCTAAGCATCACATAAATGAATGCAGAATTAATTACAGTCCTTGAATTTTAATTTCTTGTAATAATATTGAGTGAAGTTGTTATCTGAGATTTTTAAAGTTATTTCTGTTAACACTGGTCAACGAACCAACTGCTTATGTAAAAATATAAAAAAAAATACTATGAATACATAGTCTTCCTTTTAAAGATGAAATTATCTGAAGCATGAAGATCCAGTTCTCTGTTTTCACTTCCATTAGCTTCAAATGGATTGAGGGGTATGTGGAACAAAATATCAGAGTACCGTATGGTTTCTGTTAATTTGAAATTTGACCTTGTGTAGGGTTCAGATGATCATCTATGAAGTTTATGCACTCCGCCATGATTAATGGTGGATAAATCAATTAGCAAGGCTTGCATTCCAGTTCTAATCCAGTTAATACCATGCTGAGCAGAGTACAATAGTCTCTCCAGTCTCTATCCCTGTGTAATTTAGAACATCTGAGACCCAGGGATTGTGTTAAGTGCTCTCAAAATTCAACTCAGTTATCCAAACAGTTTTCCTCCAATTTACCCTTCATATTTCAGCTACCTGACATGGCTAGTCTCGTTTTTATTAGATACAAAGCCAATTACTACGATCAATGAACTTGCCTTCCCGAAGGTGCAATGACTGCAGTAATTGACTCTCCTTAGAAGCTCTCACTGTATTTGTTCCAGGGTGAATACAATTTTGCAACACAGTAGTCTACACCACCATTTTAAACAAACATCTATGTCTCCATCTGCAGTACAAATGTGTGTTCTACCCACAATATATTTCAGTCAATGCTGGCAAATGAGTACTCCAAGAAACTGAATTAGCATGGATTCACAATTCATACATATCCTTTCTCTTTCTGTTTTTTCCCAGAGGTTCCTTTCTGTTGTTTCTCTGTTGTCTGTATTAGGTAGATTAATCTCTATTTCCTACAGCCTCTCAATATCACTCCTTCCTAATTTGTCTTTTCTTTTGTTCTTCAGGACTATTCTTCAATAACTATAGAGGCCTTGACCAGTTCCTTGATTACTCCTCTTGCAATTCACCAATCTCCATTCTTTTAAACCACCATGGAAGACTAAAGACTTTCTCTCTGGGTTATTAAAGGTAGTTACTACATGGAAATACTACATATAAACTGCTATAGGGACTGCATATGTTGTGCATTTTTACACAACATGCTTTGTTGTCCAAATTATATGTTACACCTAACATTATGGCTGGATCTCAATGGTCTTTTCCAACCAAAGCGATTCTGTGATTCTATGTAAGTTAATTTTAGGAGTCTATTAAAATAACATTCCTCAAGTAAGTTCCTAATCTCCATAACCAGTCAATGGAGAAATGTTAGTGGCTTTAAGACCTCCAAAGGAAGATCTTTGTATCAGATTTTCCTAAGTCTGAATTGCACCTGGAGCTCTGCAAATCCTCAAAGGTATACAGCTCTCTCCTCTAGCTATATGGGGAATAACAATGCAGACCTGAGGAGAGCTACTTCATTAAGTGCTTAAGATTTAGACCCAGTTTTGGTGTCTATTTTAGGCAAATGAGATTTTCCCTCTGCTTAGGAAGTTAGTGCAAAGCTGTAAAACTAAAACTTGCAAGGAGAATATCGAGTGGCCTGAACTAGGACATGGGTAAGTGCAATTAATCCTAATATGGGCCGTCCTACTACTCAACTACAGATCCATGCATTTGTTGGATATCTACAGATCATTGCTGTCAAGGACAGTCCACATATGACCATTTTCTTATAAAGCAGGTACAAAACCAGCGTGTGTTTATAACAGTTTGTAGCATGGGGTTGCTATAAACCATTCTACCTTCCTCACCTTTTCTCAATCAAGCCCCAAAGCTTTGTCTTGTCAAAATGTTGGACTGGGAAGCACATCTTTCAGATTAGCTCCCAAATAGCTTTTATACAGCAAAATTTCCTCCCCACCCTCAGAAGCTTCTATGAGATAAGAGAGGAGGGAGGCTGGTTAAGTCTGGCCTTGAAAATTATGTATTTTAATCACACCTCTGATCTTTCAGGTCTCTCCCGTTCCATGGTCTTTCTCCTCAGAAGTTTTCTCACTCCTTTGTCAAACATAAGTTGCCTCTTACTGTTGTTCATTGTTGCCTCATTCATTTTTCTCACCTGAGAAATCAGGAAAGATGGGACCTAAAAGGAGGAAACCAGAGCTGAGAATATAGAGTAATTTTTTTCCCCCATAACATTGGTGTTGGATGTTCAGAAAGGTGCCAAATTTTAGGCCACAGAAGCTCTGTTTATTCCTAGAAGATACATGCAATTAGTAGTTCCCTCTAACAACCCACCCTTATTCCTTTGGTGAAACTGCAGAATATCTTTCATACCATATGAAACTTTTTAGTGAGTTTTGCAGTTTTAGGAACTTTATTAGGAGGCTGTCTTTGCAATTTCCATTGTACCCTCCTGTTATGGGGAAATGAGCTGACAGCCATTATCTTTATGTCGACCTTTGGAAATCCAGCAAGAACTATGGGCTAAACTTTAAACAGTCATTCAATCCCATTCAAGTCTAGATATCTCACCTAGGCATGTAAATTAAATCATTCTCCTATGCATTCTCTTGTATAATCAGTGGTGTGGGATAGGTACCTCCAGAGGGCAATTCGTGCTAAAATAGATGTCTTGAATAGGTGAGATAAATCTCCATCCAGTGGTATCTGTCACCCTATCTCGTTCTAGATCTCATTCTAGATCTAGAAAACTGCAGTTTCTGAAGAGCAGCTAACTTCTTCTAGGAAGGTCAGTTTACTCTGATTTCTACAGAGCTGCTGCATATAGCAAAATACTTCTCTGTATGGGAGCCATAGAGAGGGAACCAGCATTACTCACTGTCCAAAGGATGTCCTGGTACCGAATTAAAAGCCGCACAATGTGCGCTGTGGTGGCAGCTGCTTGCATTTCTTGTTGGTTTGCACGTTTCCCTTTGTAGATGAAGAGGTTTGGTGCAACAATCATAGAAACATTCCACAAATTCATTTTATTTTTCCCTTCATTAGCAACCACCTTCTTCAAGAACTGAAGAAAGGCCTGGAAAAACAACACTTGTAATGTTGAGTCTCACAAAATATTTTACTTCTCAAATGCAGCATTTTTGAACGCACAACATATCTGGCTAGAAAGCTGACATTTGCACTTGGAGGTGAAATTCAGGTTTTTTCTAATTTGGATTACTCTGATGTTTGCTGGCACAACCACCTATGTCAGTCAGAGAGGAACAGTTAATGTTATCAAAATACACATTAACAAATTGACTATCACTTAGAGCATAATCCCAAATCCATAAATCAAGTAGAGTGACTGCACTAAGGCTCTGAATCCTCTATTACAGGAAAGATATAAAGATGTTGTAATGGAATAGTTAATTTCTTCATAGATTTCAGGGTGATTATTTTGATGTATCTGGCCAAGGTTTTTTATATTGCAGTCAACAGGGTGATCAGCCTCTCTTCAAATGTGTACCAGTCCCACATAAGATACAATCTGAGGAATTTCTGCCAGAAACCCCCCCACTTTTATTCTAGCATAATGAAAGCAAGAAGCACTCAGTGGTTGTTCACTGACGTCACTTCTGCACATGCATGGCAGAGTCAAAGGAAACTGATTTCCCTTTTGGGCAGTTTATTCAGATTTTGCTTGAGTGACTAAATAGGATGGATTGCAGCTGTGGCTAGAGTTGGGGTCTGCCAGTGAGTCCTTCTGCAACACCATACCATTAAAACCACTGTCTTTGTACCCTGATATTGCAATTAAACCATTTTTACAAACCCAGGGATTATAAAACAGAAACTGTGTTGGAGAAATTTCTAAAATCTCATTATATATAGCAAGTAGAGATGCATTCAGTCTTGTCATCACTTCTATTTTCTTATAAAAGCCTAGTAATAGTTAAGACTACTCATCTAGTATGTGTTTTACATGTACTGCTCTATATCAACATGGACTTTGGTAGAAGAAATAACCTTCATTCTTCACAGGGCACTAGTAGACTTCCAAATGCTTTAAAGAGGGTTGTTATTCTTCTCCTTTGTTATTGCATAAATAAATAAAAGTAAAGAAGGTACCTGAACTCATAAAACTATATTTAAACTGACCAGTGGGAGACTTCCAGAGGTGAGGGACCTGCAGGGTCCTGGTGAGCAGTGAACCTGATGAAATATCTGAGGGCTCCCTGGCAGCTTGTTCACCCAGCTTTCCTTTACATGGAAACACGTCCAAAAATGCAACAATGTCTCTTAGGGTCAGGATATAGCTGCAGCCAGATCTGGGAGCTCCCAACCACCGAAAATGCTTGTAGCTACCATGTTTGTGTAAGGAAGTGGTAGATGGATGTGGGTTTGCGTTTGTAAGGCATGGGTTTGTAAGGCAAAACAGCTAAGGCTGAGGCCCTGACATCCGGCCTACAGATGTATATTTCAGGAGTTTTTACTTTTGACTACCTGCTCCAGTCTGGTCCAGTGCCCAGGAAGCCCTTCAACACTGGGAGAGCACTAGCTGAACTTCTTGCAGGGCAGCTTCTTGTTTAACTTCATCCTGGAGAATTCCAGTTATACAGAAAACCCAGAAACTGGACCTTCTTTTTCCAAATTATGCAAGGAACATGCCTCTTTGAAATGGGTGCTCCAGAATAAATGATGCCTGGGAGCCATTTACTGATACTAGCAGCTGAGGGAACTGAGGTTGTTTAGTCTGGAGAAGAGGCTGAGGGGAGACCTTATCGCTTTCCACAACTACCTGAAAGGAGGTTGTAGAGAGGTAGGAGTCGGTCTCTTCTCCCAGGTAACAAGTGATAGAATGAGAGGGGATGGCCTCAAGTTGCTCCAGGGGAGGTTTAGATTGGATATTAGGAAAAACTTCTTCACTGAAAGGGTAGTCAAGCATTGGAACAGGCTGCCCAGGGAGGTGGTGGAGTCACCTTCCCTGGTGGTATTTAAGATGGGTAGACGAGGTGCTTAGAGAGACGGTTTAGACGTGGAATTGATAGTGTTAGGTTTATGGTTGGACTCGATGATCTTAAAGGTCTTTTCCAACCACAACTATTCCATGACTCTATGATGCCTCCAGTAACTATTTCTTAGTTGCTTGTAAGATAAATGATAACCAGGGAATTGGATAATATTTTTAAGGAAATGATAAAACCCACAGATGAATACTTTCACAGTGCAACATCTGATCAACTGACTGTTAGAAAAAAACCTATGTTGCTCATTTAAAAGTCGAAGGCACCACAGAAGGCAGGTGATAGCAAACAAAGAACTTACCTTGGCTGTGTCTCTGTTGGCTTCAGGCAGCAGCATGATCAACAGATGCAAAGCTTGCAACTGTAACTTGATCTTGGAGATTTCTAAGAATATGAATTTTTTTTTTTTTTAATCACAATTACAATTGGTTTGTTCTAAAATCCTTGATGGTCAGCAGCTTTAGAAATACAGCAACCACTGCTTGGTTGAGACTAATGTTTTTACATATTTATTAACCATAATCTTTTCCTCAAATATAAAATCAATTGTAAGGATTTTTCCTCATATTCTTGGGTCTTTGTCACAGGGGGAGACAAGGTTCTATAAAACTCTGTGTAAATAGCAAAAAGCCAATGCTTTTCAGTAGAAACCAGTTTCTCCTTGAAATCATGGTCAGAATGTGTTCTATATCGATCAACTATTTACCCCCTTTTAAACTGAAATGGATATTTGTTTTCAGAAAATTTTTGGACTGTTGTTATTGACCAATTTGCTGAACATTTGTGCTTTTTGATTGCTTATAACTTAAAAAAAATATTTGTACCAAGTCTAGAACTCTAAATAAATGTAGAGCTCCCTATCAGTTACAAAATACCACCCTATTTTCATAAATTGGTATATATTGACACTGTGCAATGCTCACTAGAAGAGCTGGGATGGAGAAGACAGGAAGAATAACTCTGTCATTTGCTTCCACTCAGGGTGGATGAGAGAGGTTTGGAGAACAAAAAAGTGATTGTTGTCGACAGTGTTTCTGTTGGAGGGAATAAAGTCACTTTATTCTGCACAGATACTTCATGTTCAGTCTTCTCCTCCAAACTGCTAAGCAATCATGCAGCTTGGGACTCACAAGGAGAACACCCAGGTACATGAAGGTTACAGGAAGGGGTCAAATCCTTGTGGCCTTTACACTTCTTAATGGAGACATTGAAAATATGGCTGCAACCTTAAATAAAGGTTCTAAGTTTTTTTGTACCAATTTGCATAATAAATTCACCATTTTGATAGTTTCAGTCTATCCTAACTCAAGTGAATTTACAATAAAGTCAATAGGTATTGCAGGGTACTACTGTGTTCTTCCTGGAAGAGCAATGAACAAAATGTACTGAGAATGAGAGGGTGTATGTACACTGAAAACAAAACCTGACTGTTTTTTGTTTCAGGTTGAAGACTGAAGCTTTAAGGGATCACATATATCTTTGTATGAATATTCTGAATATTCAGCATAAATCCAGAGACAAATAAAATAGATCCAAGAGAGTATCAGCTAAAGGGCAGTGGCCTGAATTTACCTTGCAGAAATTTTCATTTGTGAAATCTATAATTTGTGTGAATCAGAGTCTATATATGAAAGTAATTGCTCAGCCAGCGTTTCCTCACAGATTTCAAATCTCACATTAAACAGTGGTGTCACTCACACAACAAATCTATGCTATTAGGTAAATGAAGATTTTTTTTTTCCATTTGAAAATTAAAGCTTTCTGAAAATTCAAATATTTAGGCAATGCACTGGGCCTTTTTTTGACTTTACTTCAGAGAGAGAAAAAAATGTAACATCTACTATTTCATTTTATCTAGATCAGTCCGTACTAATTCTTTTTCTACTTACTTTCCACAAGTGTGATGAAAGCAGGCAGATATTCTAATGTGAAGAGAGGGCTTGGGAGTTCTCTTATAAACATTTTCAGCAGTCCTGCTGCATCATTATTTCGTACTTGATCCCAGTCAAATGTGTCTTCATAAAATTTTGCCTCAAGTTCTTGATGGAGATTCTGAAAGATAAAAGGAACATTTGACCTTTAATCATTGCTTCTGACCTGGCAGTTTGAGATCACTTCAGCAATCCCATTATAAACAACAGGCACATTTACACTGTAGTTAAATAAATAGCCCTAAATCAGCAGCAGTCTAGATACAGCGTGCAGAGTTCAGAGCAGGTTCCTGGGAATATTTTGCAACCCAAGCTAAATTTGGTTTGCATTAGCTAGATTTCTGCCAGTGACCCATTTGAACCATTTTCAAGCAGACAATTTTGTGCAATGTCTTAGAACTAGAAACAGAAAATTCAGTTAAATGGGATTTTTAGCATAGCTGTTTTTGTTTAAAACACTCTCCAGAGGTTTTGACTCTTAAATCACAAAAGGAGTGACATTTCCTCCTCACTGCCAGCGAACCTGCTAAACAATGAGGTGTCATTGAGTCCATGGGCCTTGAGCAAATGGCTTTAACTTCAGGTCTTCCTGTCTTTAGAATGATATTTTCTTTTAGGATAGCTGTAACTAGATTTGATCACTTCACCAAAAAAAAAAAAAAAAAAAAAAAAAGTATCAAATCATTACTATCAGAAAACCTCGACTTAATACATGCCAAAAAACTCCCTCAAAAAACCACAGGAGATATTTGATGCAGAATCGATTATACCATTTTGGGTGCCCATACAATGCTCTTGTTCTCCGGGTCAGAATCTTGCTCTATAACAGAGGTCTATTTAGTTCTGAAGGGGAACTAATCAATGTTTCACAGACGTGTGTGAATGGAAAATATATGGTAAGCATGCTAGTAGGAACAGAATTTGGCTTCAGACATGGATCACTGTTTGGAATATGCAAGCTCCTAAAAAATTTGTTGGGTTAACAAGATTGAAGGAGGCTGTTGTAATAGAAGAATATCCATAAATAATGCAGCTTTCACAATTATTACTGGCCAAATGCTGCCTTATCCATAGGAAGTTTGTTGTTGCTTTTTTGTGTGACCATTTTTGACAAATTACAACTGTAATTAATATTCAGGTTTCAGTTGATGTTTTTGTCAAATGTTCTTTAATATTACACAAAAAAGTTTGGTCCATTCAGACAGAAATCATTAAAAAATGGATTCTGTTTACCATGCCTCACATGAATGGAAGGAAATTACATATCAAATATGGTCACACATAATGAAGTGAAATGGTTGGCACAAAAGGAAATAGAAAGTCATTCAGGATTTGGTATATACGGTTACAACCTCATTTTTACTAGCACATTTTACTGGTTGTAGTTTGGGCTATCCCAGCTTCCTCTGTATTCACATCCTTTGCACATAATCCATACAAACACCTGGATTAAATTATCTCCTGGTAACTGACTGAGAAATATGGAACAGAAATCCTCACCTCATCAAAATCACAAGAGGAGAGAAAAACTATTCCACATTTTTCTGCTGAGAACTGGGAAAAATACGTAGAAATAGAAAGTAACATTTTTGAAACATAAACATTGAATATATATACCCACACTGGCAAATATATATGCACATTTTATATGCTACACTCACCCCCCTATACATATATAAATATATATACACCTAAGTACTTTTAAAAAACGTTTTTGCATTTTTTTTTAAATGTGATTGTTCCTACTATCATGCATATTTGGTTCACTGGAGCTTTTGTTACAAACCAGATTACAGATGAAAACCTGTATTTAGTTCTTATATTATTCGCTTTATAGAAGAGTAACCTTAAATCACTTCCATATGCCTTTTCTTTCTCCAAACAAGACTGAAATAAAATTGGAATGCCCTCAAATCCTAATGTCATAATAATGTATGAAGGCTTTGAAGGATAAAATCTGGATATGCTTTGAAAAAATCTCTCTTGCTGGTTGGCTTGTTGGACAGACTTAAATGAAACCAAAACTCAGATAATTTAAAACTTTCATATGGGCAGTTTAACTTACCACACAGCATAGGGGAGTTACATATAAAGTCCTATATCATAGCAACTCCCTGGGTGTAGGTTGTGAATAAAAAGTGAACAAGGCACAGTACAGTATGTGCAAAGAAAATGAAAATAATTTAATTAGACAGAGCACAGCCCTGCTGTGTAACCTCCCCCTAGAGACTGGAAAAAACTGAGATTGTGTGAAGTAGTACTTTAAGTATTTGTATTAAAAAATGAGGAAGCTGAAAACTACAGGCCGAATTAGGAGCTCTCTTCTGCAAGATGTGGCACTTCACAAGGTACTGAGTGCTTTTACCAATCGACAAAGGGAGCTGAGAGGCTACTGACTATCTTTGGCGCATTTCCTATAATGCCACTTTTTCTTGTACAGTCATTTTTTATGATCCCTATTCCATCAATGTTTAGCAATCTCCAACATCACTCTTTGTGTGGCTGCCACAATGTTGAGACTTCCTGCCTCCGAAAGCAAGACTAACTTTCTTGAGTATGGGAAAGTGGGATTGGGATGCACTATTAGAATTTGCTCAAACCAGATTAAAAAAAAACAAACAACAACCAACCAACAAAAAAAACCAAACCAAAACAAAAAAAACCAACAACAAAAAACCTAGAAAAACAAAACAAAAAAAAACAACAACAAAAAACCTAGGAAAAAAAAAATCTGGGAAAGAGGTAAACACTACTGAGCCCAGAAAAAACTTGTTTTCCTAATTTGTCTCTGCCAAAGTTTTCCAGCTTTTGGAACCAAGTTAGTCTGAAGAAACAATTGCAAACATTACTGCACCGCAATGTCAGGTTATTGTGTACCAACTAGTCTGTGTTCATAGCCCGCAAACAGCCTATGAAAATGCAGTACTCCAGGCTGCCAAACAGTGAATGCAGGCCAAATATCTCTCACTTGGAACCTGAAATTGTAAAATCACAGAAGATAAATGAGAAATAAAATGACGCAAAGGTTAAAATTATATAGAATAAGATCTTTATCTGAAGTTCACTCAGCTTAGCAACTCTGGATTTCTGAAATAAATTAAAACAGAGATAAGATCACAGCAATTTTGGATGATGGAGATAAACTGAAAGGATCCCTCAATGTTTAGTGTAGAAAAATTTCATTCAACAGTCAAGTCTGTGCTTTATATAGAACATTAACAAATGCAAAGCAATAGACCATATATTCTGTGATTTATTGGTTCCCAGGAATCAATCTGACCTTTCACTGGTAGGAATAGAAATGTTGATCTACACACATCAGTATTTATGTGCAGTGTGCATTTGTGTGTGCTGTATTATTTTACATAGGGTCTGTGGTCCAGGACACAGACAACTGGAATTAATGTGTACCTTGACTCTGGAGGCGGATCCAGGCACTCGTAGAATTCCTTCAGTTTCTAAACCTGTCTCCTCAAGCTTGAGCAGCAACTGAAAAAAACCCAACAAAACCCAGGAAAATATTCAGAAGCACTTAAAAATACTATTAACTTTTTTTTTTCAGTCTAGGTATCCTTGAAACTAATTTGAAAAATATATATTTCTATGTAATTTGCTAATGTAAAGAGGCTAGGTCCTATAAGTAAACCTCCTTAATTTATTCTCCATATTCCTGACACAGAAATATGGATTATGCAGAGTATGAAAACCTGATAATGCCATAAGCCCCTCTGTCCTTGGTTTGAGACTTGGCACTGCTATAGAACAATTAGCACTTAAACATTAATAAAAGGGCAGATATACTGGTTAGAACACAATGGTGTTTTGAGGGAAAATTAAATTCTGATAAATGTTTAGGTCTTTCCTCGAGAAGTACAATGGTAAGGTCTATAGATAACACATTTCTGGGACATGAGAACTCAGATTAGAAAATGATCAGGATATTATAGTTTGAAATTTCTGTGAATAGAGGAATAAGCTTTTCTCTCTACTTTATAAAAAAAGTAAATATGGTTTGATTTAACGTAATTTAGAATGAGGAAAAAAAATTATAAATTCCTAACATTTATTCATACAGCTCTGGATGTTCACCACCAGCTCTACTTCCTAACCTAACTGTTGAATCCTTCTAATTTCCCATGGTGTCTTGGTATGGAAGCTGTGGAGCTGATTGCAAAGTCATGTAAATATTCAAGTATTGTCAGTCTCCACACCATTTCCTGTTTTTTCAGTATTTACAGGGAAACTTGTAGTTTCAAGCCCATGTAAACCTGTGTAATTGCATGTATGCTTGTGTCTGTGTACCTTCTCCAAGATCTCTGCTGGATGTCATTATACTGTCAAATAACTTATAAAAATGATGTTGTCTTGTCACACAAACTTCAGTGAGAAGATACGACTTCCATTCTGGAAGTAATAGATAAGTAAGAGCTACGGTTTGAATTAATGTGAAATTATAACTCCTGAGACAACTCATTTCTGCTGCTTCTGCACACTCACACAATTTTTCACAGTTCTCTAACTTAATGAGAAAGGGAAACAGAAAGCCAGACTGTTTCACGAAGTTTCTTGTATGGTACCATATAGTTACAAAAAAAAAAAAAAAAAAAAAAAAGAGGTCCTTACCACACGTAAAACACAAAAAGGAGCAAATTTTTTATCCTGTCACAAGGTTTTCAAACCACAACATGCAGACAGACAACCTGTAGACACCTTCAAATCTGTAAAGCCTGAATCTTCTTTTATCTGATGACTGTTTTGAGTGTCAGTGCAAATGATGGAAAAGAAAATCTCAGTGGCTGAGCAGGCCAAGTTATACTCACTTTTTGGAAGATGAGGGGAACTTTTATTCCAGGAACCTTCTTTTGATCATTCTCTAGCAGTATGGTGAGAGGAACCCCAAACAGACCATTTTCTTAAAAATAATAAAAACAATAAAAAAATGTGAAAGAGAGAAAATACAGCCTCATACACGTCTTAGCTACTCCAGAGTGGCGCCCATGGAGATGCCACAGCACGGTACCTCGTCCCCGCACCCTCTCTGCACGGTTCCTCTTCAACTCCACCCCCAGTGCATCATAGAAGGCCGTTAGCTCAATCAGGGAGAGGTAGCGAATCTTCTTCATGTCTTCGGGAGAGAGATCTCCAACCTCTGTCAGTCCAAACCGGCTTTTCCGAACTATGAATTTCTACAATAGAGATGGGTTGCATCTTTATTTACACAAAAAAATACAGGATGTGAATTTTTGTTTGGAAAGAGATGCCTGTATGTGATAGGAGGTCATATTAGGGTAGATGGATAACACCAAAGAGCTGAACTATAACCCTATATATTGGCCTGATATGTTGACATCACTTGCATCCATCTGAAACATAAAACTGAGCTTCTTGCCCTTTCTGTTCCCTTGCAGTTTGACTGGTAGGCAGTGCTGGAGCAGAAGTGTTAAAAATCAATGCTTGTACTCCAGCTGGGACAAATGAGCTAT